CAAAACCCTAAACCCTAGACTTAGGAAACCCTAGATAGAGGAACCCTAATTCAGTCAAGTACAAAAATAAAAACAACATTTTCAAATTAAATCTAGGCCTTCTAATAAAATTTCTAGGCGGCGCTTTTCCATGGAGTACACTCATTCATTTAGGATCTGTCAACCTTGAAGATCAAGGGGTACATACTCAATCTTTGTTGTCTGATCCGGGCTCAGCTCTGGGTCCCAAGTCTAAGGTGTTGGTTTCTAGGTTATTTCTTTCTTTTATTCCTTTTTTTTTTACTTTTATAGCTATTCTATTTAGTTTTATTGCTATTCATGTGTCCTCTTTATTTCTATTTGTATTTCTATCGGATTTTACACAAACCTAAGTTGGCTCGGTCATGGATATGTGAGAAATAGGTCTTCCTAAGCTGATTTTTTTTATAGATATAGATTTGATGGAACTTACCTGTTCTAACTCTTAAATTTAAATTTAAGTTTGAATACGATCACGCATCAAACTTTGAATTGGTTAGGCCAGTCTCATAATCACGTGCAAACAAATACATCACCACCTACAATGACACCGCAACATGATTCATCCCTCGTATCATTAACATCGGTCCATTAGCCCAAGGGGTAAGATCTTATGCCGATAATGTAGATGCATCCCTTAACTTCATAATAAGGGGATATTGTTTTTTGGGGGTGAATCATAATAAGGGGATGATTACGAGTGAATGCACATCATTGGGACTGCAGGTTTAGTTTATATGGAGGTAGAGCCGAGGGTTAAGATTAATTGTAACCACGTTGTATCAAAGATAAATGGTCTAATTATATATATTTATGGGTTTTGTTAGGCTACACCACTTGTGATGTAAATTTTTAAAGTACTCAATATTTTTAAAAATTTGGATAACCTTATCCTATAGTATAGTAAGGTCTTTTAAGTAATTACTTAATGATAAATTAGAAATTCTTAATAAAAATAAAAACATTTATTAACAATAGTGGACAATAACATCACCGATAGAGTGTGTGACATCATCCAATAAGATACATTAATTGTGTTTAACTACTAATAGAATGTCATTATTTTGTTATAAAAATATACATTCTACCTTTCTAATTAATAAAAAATGACCCTCTTTGAAAAATTTTGTATTACAATTCAATGGTATTTTAGTATAAAAAAATGTTGAGTACTTTAAAGGTCTACACCACTTAAGTGGTGTAGTCTAATAAAACCATATATATATACCCCACCTAGCTCGGGATTGTAATAATTAGAAACAAAACCTTGCGTTTGAAACAAATAGCTGTATATATACCCCACCTAGCTGGGGATTGTAATAATTAGAAACAAAACCTTGCGTTTGAAACAAATAGCTGTATATATATACCCCACCTAGCTCGGGATTGTAATAATTAGAAACAAAACCTTGCGTTTGAAACAAATAGCTGTATAAACAAAATTAAACTATAAAAAATAGAATTAAAAAGAGAGAGAGAGTGAAACTCCTGTGAAACTAGGGCAGGAATATGCCAACTTATTTGGGTGGTTCTTGAACTCGGTTAACTCAAACAATAAATATCCTGAATTAGCTGAACTGTGGCAAAAGCGCTGATCACCGTGACATAAATTAGAAAAATGGCCCTTTACGTTACTATACCCAAGTATTTAAAGTAAGTTTCGATAATCATAGGCCAATTGTCTCCTTCCAGCCTAATAACCCATAAATGTTGTGACTCTTGTGCTAGCAATAATGTGCTCTTTTCATGACCATAGCCCATGACATTATATTGAATATTGAACATGGTCAATATGACCCAAGTGAACTTTGGCCACGATAAACAAGTTGATTTGGCCAAGTTAGGAGCCAGTATGATATCAAACCGCCATAACCATGGGGAATAATTAGTGGCAGTTGGGTCGGGTCGACCCGAATTGGTCCATGTTTTGAAACTATCCGGTTGGGCTATGTCCCAGTGACTTGGACCTAACTTGGGTTGGATTTGGATTTGGGTCTTGTATTGACCTCAGCAGCTCGGGCCGGGTCGATCAACAGTAAAAAAAAGTTTACAAAAATAGTTTTTTATTTTTATTTTTAAAATTTCTAGATCAGGTAGGGTCCCAATCCAAATGACTTGGAACCCACCAAATCCAGGCCCAAATCACTTGACCCCTCCCTGGACCCAACCCGACTTGTTGCCACCCCTACAAATAACCATGAGCCCATTTTCTTGATAAAACCTTACTATTTCATACCACATATATCCTCAAAATGATGCGTATATGGTTAATAAGGTCCATCCATATTCTTAGGTTCAAATAGGAACGAAATGTTAATGATTTTGGGCCCAAAGCCCAGGATTGTTTAGCCAAATATGGAGAAACCTTGGCTAAAAAACAAAAATGTTTCCATATGCATAGATACATACATTATGCTAATGCGCCGGATTTAATCCTTATTTAAAAAAATTATTTTACCCCACATAAAAACAAGGTGCACCCAATAAAATAAATATTTTTCTTATTCGTTTTATTGGGTGCGACTTGTTTTGACATAGAGACACCCAAATTTTCATGTAAAAATATTTTATAAAAGATATAAAAATAAAAAATAGAAAATATAGATTATCCAATAATGCATGATAGAAAACTTTGCATGCATGTTGGACCACTCATCTAGACACTTCAAAAAAACAAGAAAAGAAGCATTTGTGTGGGTTGGACCCTAGACCAAGTGGGGTTCAAGTCAAAGACCCGACCCTGCTGGGTCGGGATCAACAAAACTCAATTGAACCCCTACGACTGACTAAATATACAATTAGGTGGTCTTTCCTCCATCCAAATTGAGGAGCCACAAATCAACTTTAGCTGAAATTTAAGGACTAGGGAGGTGCTAGCAAAATGTAGAGGTAGGAACACAAACACTGCGTTGTAACGTTGTAAATTGTAATGTGTTATACTATATTCCCACATAAGCATTATTGTGCATCTCCCCCCTCGCTCAAAACATCTATTTAGGAGAGTTTGTTTAGTCTAAAAGTTTTAAAAACACATAATAAGTACTAGATGATTATTATTTTTTTAAAAAAATTTGAATATTAAGTTTTATAACACTTAGATCTAGCCCTTCAAAAATTGGATGATTTCCATTCAATCTTGAGCATAAGTTTTTAGAGAGTTTATTTAGGCAATTTTTTCTTTTACCAAAACTATTCTATGGGTTGTAAAGATTACATCCCCAAATTTGAGATCTAAAAAATATCTTTAGTGTGTAATTTTTCTGAGGGAGAAAAGAGATAGTATCCTCCAATGGGAGGAGGAAATCTTTTGGGTTGTAATATTGTATTGACTTAAGGTTCATAGGCTCCACTACCTAAAAGATTGTAGTTGAGATGAGTATATTGAGATAGATGAGCAGCAAGACAATAAATGATAGAATTCAAAATGAATACATTCAAGAAATTTTAAATGGCTTTACTATGCAATAAGAGAAAGTAGGCTTAGGTTGTTGGCCATGCACACTATAGACATACGGGAAAATTGCCAAAAAACCCCCAAAACTATACTTTTTAGACACTTTACGCCCACTCTAAACTTTTCCCACTTATTTTTCTAAAAAACCATTTTTTATAATAAATACTATTCAACTAAAAAAGTTACATCTTTTTTGACAAAAATACCCTCCATTCACATGACAAATCATTTTCGGATCCCAATAGAAGAAAACGTTGGACCGCATTTGTACAACGCCGGACTGCTCAGTATAGCGTACTTCAAAACGCCGAACTGCCCCGTCAAAATGCTAGACCGCAACTTCAAAATGCCGGACCGCCCATTCCAGCAAAAAAATAATCGCCAGACAGCCACCATGAAACGCCGGACCGCCATCATGAAAGCCCAGACTCCCACCATGAAACGCCAGACTGCCCATTCCAGCAAAAAAACATCGCCGGACTGGTTGTTCGAAATGCCAGACCGCCCTAAAATAATTTGTTATGTGAGGGAAGGGTATTTTCATGAACTTTTCGTGTAGGGGATATTAGCTAAAAACATCATTTTTTGGGGGGAGAGTTATTAGGAAAAGTTGGGTAGGGTGTAAAGTGGGTAAAAAGTCCATCGTGGGGGCTTTTAGCAATTTTCTCCTTAATACTGATTGTGGGTAGTACAATTGGTTTTAGTAGAATGCTCTAAAACGGTAAAAAAAAAAAAAAAATACAAAATATACCCTAAAATTAACTATCTAATCAACTTACGCCCATCTCAATTTTTTTTACACTTTTTTCCCCAAACAATCTTCCCAGCAAAAACCCCCCAAGATAAAACATTTTTAATTTTTGGACAAAAATGCCCTTCCCATACAAACCAAATTAATTTGTGATCCCAAATAGAGTAGTGCCGGAGTGTAATATACTACCGCTGGAGTGGAATGTCAAGAAGCATTGTCGGAGTGCAATGCTAAATTGATAGAACGAACTACCGAAGTGCGTATTTTCAGTATCAGAGCGTATTCTCATATTTTTCGGAGCGGACTGCCGGAGCGCAGTTTTCAGTATGTCGGAGTGATGTGGGTCAAACAAAACACTGTCGGAGTGCACATTAGGACTGTCAGAACGTACGTTACGACTGCCTGAGTGCAATCCTTCATTGCCGGAGCCCAAGGCCGTGTGAAAAGAAACAGGAGAGAAGGCCGTATAAAAAGAAACGACGGTATTTTAGACTTATTTTATGTTACTTTTGGGTTGAGGGGGTTTTTGCCGGAAAATGTTCTTGGACGAGGAAAGGAGTGTGAGAAAAAGTTCGGGTGGGGTAAGTTATCTAGGGAGTCCATTAGGGTGTATTTTGTAAATTTTTGACAAAAATAACCCAAAATAATTTAGATAAAATCAGTGAGAAAAAATATAACGGTTGCTGAAGCAAATCAGCGGACCAGGATTTAAGTTGCTATTGTTCAAATAAAAAGAAAAAAATTATTTAGCTAAAAAAAGTAAGGACTCTAACCCCTCTTAGTCGTTAGTTTCTTCTGCGCGCTCTTCTGGGTGACCGTCTTGCAGAGCTCATCTATTTTTTTTTTTTATGGTAAAAAGCAGAGCTCCTCCATTTTTTTTTTTTGGTAAATAGCAGAGCTCTTCTCTATTTCCAGGTCGAATTTCTCACTTTGTGGAATATATTTTTCCGTGCTCACTCTGTAGAGAGAGATAGAAAACCTTGTAGAGAGAGAAGTGGGAGAAAATTTCGTAGAGAAATAGAGATGAGGCGGATCACAGGAATCACCTCTAAGGTACCTCTTCTATCAGTACTCAGCGCCTGATATCGATGGGCAAGCAGTTGTTATGTTTTCTTGCGATTTCATGGAAATTACTTTATTTATTTAATTTAATTTTCCTGTTTCACCCAGAATTGCTTGATTGTTAACTCCAAATATTAGTTGATGACTTCTTCGTATTGGATTGATTCACATTTTAGCAGATGATTCAGGATTGAACTTACTCTAATATCGAAGTTTCTTTGTTTATTGATTATTCATTGTTCACCATTAATGTGAAAAAAAATTAATTTGAGCAAAAATTGTATATTAACCTTCATAGGTAAGAAAAATCATAATTTGGAAAATTTGGCTTCCTAATTGTTTCTTTTCTTGCAAAAAGGAAACTGATCGTAATTGTTCTTGGAACGTTTTCCAGTTTATTTGATTAATTACTTTTCCTTTCCAAAATTTATTGAATTCGTTTGACAACAGTTTTGGTTTTGTTAATGGGCTTAGAATAGCCAGGTATAACCTTTATTCTTAACTTCCGACCTTTTGTTTGTGGAACTTGGGGTCAATGTTTACCATGGGAGCTTTTCGTGGCCAATTTTTCTAATAAATACCATTATAACTTTTCAAGTTACAAACTAGAATTTATAGCTATTACTTTCTTTTGGTGGTTGGTTATTGAAGGATTTAAAAGATAGATGTAGGCCATGAAATGAAAGCATTCTTTTTGTTTTGACGCAAAATTAAACCTTCTATTATTCTGTATAATCGTTTCTGGGCATTAGATGGCATTTTGCTGGTCTCCATTTTTTTTTTCTTTTTAAAATTCTTTTCGTTAAGCTTGCCTGTTGAAATTGATGAATCTGCTTTTCCTTAAAAATGCAGACCCTAGAAAAGTTAGAGAAAAGTGTACAAGCCGGCAACTATTATGAGGCTCAGCAGTTGTATAAGACTATATATGCGAGGTATAGAGAACTTATTTCTTTATTTGTTATGAATTTCACATTCGAATAATCTTTTCCATGGTATCCAGTAATGATGTTACTCGATTCAGAAATGTCGCATGGATGCAAATGATTACCTTTAGTGCATGGTTTGATAAAGAAATTTAAGAGTAGGTAGCTTGGAGTTCCAATATTTACATGCATGTCAATATACTGCATATTGTAGCCTTGACGTATAATGGAGATAGGTTATGTTCACCGCCCCTCCTTGTGGTCGATTTACTGAAACATGTTTTTCCTTGATGTTAGAAAGCATACAAAAATCTTAGTACTGTGTAAAATAATTGAATATCACTACGTATTGAACTAAGGCCATCCCTAAGAACTTCAAAAGAACATACAGAAACACGTCAGATAGAATATTCATATCAAGGGGGGCGTGAGTGTCGGTCAGTAATTGTGTTTTAAGCATTTCTAAATTCATAGTCAATGATAATGTATGTGTAACCAATTTAAAGCTAAGGATTTTTTGCCTGCCCGCTTTTTAATATTTTTTCACTAGTATGTTCTTTTTTATGGCCATTGAAGATTTATTTCAAGCATGTTTTGCTACAGGCTTATGTAAGCATTAAATAATTTGAACTGAATTATTGAGAAAATGTGTTTAATTTGCATTTGACTAATATTGAGTATTATTGATGTGATTCTTCGACGATACCTTGCTTTGTTTACTGATGAAAAGTCATTCTGTCTATTACAGATATGTGGCAAGTCAGAAATATGCTGAAGCCTTGGATTTGCTCCAATCAGGTGCCTGTATCCAACTTGCACATGGACAGGTTATATTATATCTACTTCCTTGGTTGAATAAAAGTTATTATGAACATTTGAGGAAGATGAATTCTTTACGGTGGAAGACTTGAGTTGTTTTCACTTTTTAAAAAAGTTGGCCATAACTTTTTAATCATTATTTTGTAAAAGGATTATCATAAACATAAGGGCGGAGGTAGTATGTGAAACTAATGAATCTAGAGACCATTTAATCAGTTTGCTCTACTCAGCCAATAAATAAATAATGAAAGTATAGTCTCTTTAGTTCAGTGTTGGAGGTGTTTGGAGAAAACATGAGCTTAGAATAGAAGATATCATGTGGTTGGAATCTTGTGAAATTGAGGTGTTGGGGCAAAAGCTGAACTTGAATAAGACAAGAATCACAAAGTTCTTTGATTCCTGTGAGCCGTGGGTTTCCTTTGAGGCACCCATTGAAATTTAGTTTTATCATCCTTAGTGGAGAAAGGCTCCACTTCACTTTGAGTGTTGTCCCCATTCTAAACTCATCAATAACTTTGGTCCTTTGCGGCTAAGAACTCCCTCCATGTATTATCATTGCAAAGTCCAGCTATTGGTATCTCTTATTGACTTCATCACCTTGTGATGGTTGTGGCTGCCTTGAAGAAAGATCCTATCCGTCAGTTCCTTTCAAATCTCTCTAGATGGTGGCCATGAAAGAATTAGTGTTTGTAGGTATTCTAAGTATCTTGATGCAGTAATCAATAGGTTATGGTTGTAAACAATCCTTGAATATGACTGCTCAGGGTTTTCAGGATTTGGGATTGCTATAGTAAGCACGAGAGCAATGAGAGACAATTGCGACAATTTCCATTACAATTATGGGTTGGTATTGCGTCCACAGCATGTGGACGCTTAAAAGGTGCAAATGCATCTTTTAATGGTTCAGATTGAACCATGCACATCCAAGGGCCAATAATGAATCTCTTTTTTTATTTTTTATTTTTATTTAAAAATGATATTGATCTGAAATTTTGGCTTTAAGTTCATTTTTATAAGTAAGATTGAATAAAATTAATTAAAAAATATTCTGAATAAAAAATATTGTCCAAAATGAATTTAGAGGTATTTTGGTCATTTTTTATTTAAAATAGTTTTTAATCATTTTTATTTAGTTATATTCATAAAAGGGTATGGTTTCTATAGGGTTGCAACCTTAAACTATCCAATTAAGGCACACCTTCAAATTTTATCATAATATGTAATTTTGGTGTAAAAAATTCTTAAGATTATCTTAAAATCAATTTTCATATCTAATAAAAAAAATTTAAACTCCAAAAATGGTTAAAATCAAGTAGATCTATAGATATATGAAAATATTGATAATGAACAGTTTAGATAATGTGTTGCAAGATGCACTATTTTTGGAACTCAAAATCATTTTTTTTTCCATATTCATACATCTCGATATCAAGATGATCAATTAGAGGGTTTTTCAACATTAAAACAATATTTTCCAATGGATTTTTGAGGTGCATTTTTAATTCTACATTTTAAGGTTGCATCCTTATATAAACTTTTCCCTTTATGGAAATACATCTACACACCAAAATTCAGATAAGTATATTATTTAAATGAAAAATAAAAAATAAAATTCTCGACTAATTTTTGCATGTTGGATATGGCCATATGAGATCTCAACCATGGGAAGGGTGCCTGTTCACCCTTCCATGACTGGATACTTGTCATAATTTATATAGACGATGGATTGACAATAAGGTGCATAACATTTCTTTCAATGTCAGAATTATTAATGGTCGGGATGTCCTCATAATAAGAGTAATATACCACCTATACAAAGTTCAACAATGTCGTAAGCATGAGAAATGTAAATCATGTCTTGAAGGACACCAATATTCTGGGGGATAGCCCGGCCTGCAAAGAGGTCAATGCAAAGGGTTTGGGGCTTTGGGTTTGTACCACCTTGACTGTTGAGGTCTATTTGATGAAGAAAAAGAAGGAAAAAAAAGAAGCCATTGTGGTGTAATTTTGCACCTTGGATTTCTTTTTGCTTTAATATAATTGTTGGGATTTCCTATATATACTTACTTACACATTGCAGTTGAATGTTTGTGAATTTGTTTTTATTTCTGCTCTAATGAAAGACCCCAGCAATAGACTACCATGCATGCTTAATGCTCTATGAGGTTTGACCCTTTTCCTTATGGAATGGTTATTAAATTGGTGTTGTAGGCGATGCGTTGCAAAATGTAGTATGCAACACAATTTAAAATAGCTTGAAATTATTTGCTATTCTTTGTTTTACTCCTGTATTTGCATTTCCTCTTTTCCTAAATTAATAATTTTTTTTTAAAAATAATTCTTGCAGTAGAGAGCTTGATTGTCTACTCTTTGCTTCTTTAACTTTCTTCATCAAGGGTCAGAACACTTTTATGTGTCTCTTTGGACTACTTAACTGGGTTGTTGTAGGGATGATACCCCAACTAAATTACAGATAAGCAATGTGTTGGGCATTTGACTAGAATATTTAATCAACAGTTAAAGCTGTTGGATATTAGTATGATGCAGTAATGCTATACTTACAGTTTTGTCATACATATATATGTTTTCTCGGCATTATAAGAATTTGGGTTTTGTTTTTCTTTAGAACTACACAATCATGATTTAGTCAATTTGCGAATTGTTTCTAGGTTACTTGTGGAGCCGAGCTTGCTGTTCTATTTGTGGAGGTTCTTGTCAGAGGAAAATGTCCTTATAATGAAGGAACTCTTGGTAGGTTCTCTCCTTATGCCGCCCCTAATTTTAGTGGTCTGCTTTTTTTCTTATTCATGAGTTTGTTTTATTTTACAGCAAAGTGTATTTTTCTGAAGCCTGAACTCTCGAAATTACTTTTTGAGTATATTTATGTCCATCTTACCTATAGTGCACCTAATTAAGCAATAGTACACATGATCCCAGCAGAAAGTCAAGCTTGCTGGTGCAAGAGAATTAATATGACTGTTGACCTCTTGGAAGTCCCCGTACTGTAAGCATGAAGAAAGCATGATACCCCATATAGTTTTTTATGTCGCCAATATGTTTTTGACTGGTGATAATTTTCTACTTTTAAGGTTTTTTTTTCCGTGAATGTTAACCATGTCATAAAGATAAAAGAGGCATACCTCAAATTCTACTCACAAGTCGGGATGGATATGTTTATATCTCAGTAGAAGGGGAGAGGGAGGGAAAGAAAACCATCAAATGAAAACACTGACAACGCAGACCACTGGGGGTTCGGGGATGGGGCATTTTTTTGGGAGGGGGTTGGTCAGGGGTTTATCGTTGATGTACAGAAACTACATACCAACAGATTCTTGGCCAACCTATCTTGAAATGTCATTAACATTTTCATAGGTATGGTGTTCTATTGAACATCCTGTGGATCTAGTGATATGCAAACTATCTTCAATATAGGTCAGAAATGCAACAAGGATACATGGATTGTCCATGAGTTCAACATAACATTGAGAGATATCTCCTTCCATGATTAACGACCTAATAAGATAATCTCTAAATATCCTTGAAGCCATAACCAATGTTGATGCCTTTGCTGTAATACAATCATGTATTGTGGGGGCACCCTGAAAAGTCTTGCATACTTGGCTTTAACTATCTCTGAAGTCACCTCCCAGCCCAGCTGGTCTTGGGTTCTCCATCAAGCTATTGTTGATGGAAAAGATGCTAGCCATGACTTATACATACAGGTGAAGGTCTTTGGGAGAGATTGCCACTTACATTCTATTCCTGACCAAGGATACGTGGTGAACATCCATTGACAAGCCTACATCAGGCAGGGGATGCTCGTTGAATTACTTCCCAAGTGTCCCCAGAGGAAGGAAAAGACATAACATGGGGAATACCAGGGCATACGTGGAATTCATCGAGAGCTTCAGTGGGCTTCTAAAAGGATGGGGGCAGGTGGCTTCACATGCTTCTTGGTTTTTTGTCTCATTAGGCGCAACCTGACTAGGTGTTATAGAGTGGGATGCAAGCTGTTACTGCTAAAGATCTTTAAGCCTCTCTTCGTGAATGTGACCTAAAGTATTATAGTGATTGTGAAGCAGTAGCTTTCAACCTCCAAAACTCCATTGATGAATTCCTTGGCTGGGTTTCTGCTGCTGGCACTCTTGCAGGTTGTCTTCACTTTGTTTCACCTTTACTAATCATCAAACCTATGGGGATTAAAATTGCTTCCAATTTTTGGATCATGATGCCCTTTATTACTGGAAAGGTGCCTTTGATTGATATCCAGAATGGGGAGCTAGCGAATACAGCATCAATTCCCATTCTTTTATAAATACGTATATTTTCTTGGGCATGTACATTTTCATTCATTTATATAATTCTACTCTTGTATCACTAATATGCATATAGTTTTGTTGGTAAATACTTGGCATTGCTTTGGTCTTATTGCCATTACAGTATTTACTTTCTTATTTTTCAAATATCTTAGATCGTGTCAGAAAAATATATCAAGAGTTTCCACAGCTATCTGTGCCACAACATTTAGGGGATGATGACGACATGCAAAAGCTTTCAGAGGCCTTGGCAGCAGCAAAAACACGTGTTGAAGGGTGTTCTTCATTCTTAAAGGAAGCGATAAAGTGGGTTTTGTATATCTTGGTTATTTTTTTATAATGTTTTCCTGTATCTTGGTTATTACTTTAAAAAAGTATTTTTGTATTCAATCCTGTGTTTCTTCAGTGGTTTATTGCTCTTCTAATAATGACTGCTGAGTTGTGCTCTTCATTCTTGGACGTCTTGAAGGAAGTGATTACATGAGCTTTTTGTGTCGTATATTTGTTTTCAATTAGATAAGTTTTGTATGCAATCATGTGTTCCATTGTTTGCTCATTGCTCGTAATTGTAAATATTGGAAGGATAACTTGGAAGCTGTAGATTTTTACTTGAAACAGATGAGGTATAAATGGTCTTGAGGTTGTTGCTTGATATGGACATATATTACAATATTTCTTTATGGATTTTCTATAATATGGTATTCTAATAGGGAAGTTAGAATGTCCTATTCCAAAAATTTTGACCATGAAGTGCCCTTGTGGTGCATTGGTTTTACCTTTAAAGGCACGGTACAGAATGTAATTTAAATCTCTGGAAATTGATTTTAGTTAAATGGCATTCTTCCTCCATTGACTCTCTCCCACTTTCTAGGGGGAGTTTCACAATATTTTTAAAATTACCTTGTATATGTCTCCCTTAAAAATAGAGATGATACACTATAAGGGCATTTTTGGAGTTTGACATTCTCACTTCACCATTAAAATGGTGCAAACAGAGAAATCCTTCTTTATATTGTGGTCGGGGTAGCACTGATGACCTTAGATGATGCATAACATAGAGATCTACTCGTGTAAATATCTTTTTTGATGAACCATATTGTAACTGCTAAAAAACACAAATAAAAATTAAGAAAGCACTTGGAATGGTCCTAAAAGGCCATTTTCCTTGTAAGTGGAAATGCAAATATAAACTTATTAAAAGTATGTCTTTTGGCCCTAACAATGATCTCCTTAGGGATTCCATTTGAATCTGATGAGAATCAAGTACACCACTTTTTATCTTCTCACCTTTAATCATTATTTTTCTCTGAATATGACACACATCAGGGCCCACTTTCGCCTTCTTATCTGCCTTCCGGTTATCGTACCTAGAATTGTGTCTGATCCTTATCATAAAAAATCTATTCCTACGATGGGGGGTAAAATTTCAATTGTCTGACAACCTTCAAGGGAAGTTCTCATGCCTATTGAGTATCTAACAGTGTTGAGGAAACCATCCCGTAGGTCCAGAAGCCACATAAAAAATACTTCAAATAAAACTAAAGTCTTGGAAGTTGTCTCCATATTTCCATTGCTGAGGCAACAATCCCTGCCAAAGTTCTCTGCCATAAGTAGGTTGCCTAAACCTAGAGGAAATTAACACCCTCAATTAACTTAGTTGAATCAAACAATACCACGATATCTCTCGGTTCAGCAATAACACTATGAACTGATCCCAACCTTGCAAGCTCCTTTCTTTCCCTCCTCACTACCAAGTTCTCTATGCTGTTCTCTCTCTCCCTTGACTACTCTTAACTATGCTTTCTCTCCTTATTCTCTGTTGGATGGATAGATAGTGTACTCTCAAGAACTTGTTTTATTGCTCGATCTCTGATGCTTAATATATGGAACTCCTGTGAAGGTATTTGTCTATTGGATAGTGATCTCCTATCTCCGTAGAGCGATCATAATGCAACTAAGGGTGCTGAAGGTCCTCCTTAGAAACTTTCATATGCCTTTGAATCCTCTAGCTAATACCAAGCATGGAAAAAAAAAAAAAAAAAAGCCGTAAGGAGGGAACTTATGTGATTTATTTTTTATCAGAATGTCTTATATAGAATCGAAACTTTTGGCGCCCTAATCAAGTCATCAGGTTGCCTCATCTTTGGAACATAACCTTGATTGCAAGGTTCCTATACCGTAGTTTTGAGGAAAGAGAGCTACCCAAGGAACACATTCCCTTCCTCCAAAAGAAATGTTTGTTGTTAATTTTCCTAAGGTCAGGTATCAGTTTTAAGGGAAAAAATTATTTGAAGATTTTGGGGATGTTTTCTAGGGTTCCTGGGCATTCCGTTGGTTGGCCGCCCATGTATGATGTCCTACTCACCGAAGCATAAATTTCTCAAGCATATATATGCTGGAATATTAGCTCTGTAGCAATTTGCATCATCCTTTTCTATTTGCTGCATGGCAAGTTAGAAACCTGGGTGACTTGTATTTCTGAATAAACCCCAGCTATGATTATTATGTAGCTGCTCAATGTTGATATTACTATGACATATCCTATTCTACTGCTTTTCCTTTTTGAAAAGATTTTTTTCATAGACAAGCATATCAGTGGTCTTCATACTCCTCCATGAGTATAATGTTGCCCCACCTTACCTACTTTACAGATTTTAAAACCTTTGTCTGCTATCCAGTTCTCTTCTTTTGCTTATGTAATGTAAGAAATCCAGAAAGAATCCTAATCAATTCAAACTAGAAAATGCCCTTGAAATCTACTAAATCTTTTTCATTTCCTCATAAATGTATTTCTTGATGGCACTTTAACAATGTTAAAGTTATAAACTCTATTATTCACTTTCTTACCCTTTAATTTCTTTTCATTTGCATAGGTGGTCTGCAGAATTTGGAGCTCCTAGTAAAGGATCACCCGAATTACATGATATGTTGGCAGAGTACATTTATTCCCAGTCTCCTGAGTTGGTAGGTTGAAGCTCTGTGTATTTTACTGCATTTCATGGTTACAGATTGGAAAAACTGATAAGCATCCCTGCTATAAACATGTAAGGAGCAGAGAAGCTATCTCTGCTCCTTTGCTTTTGTGGCTATTGTAGATATATGGTTTTGGAATAGTGGCCCTTACTATAAAATAACTATTCTATATGGTTTCTTATTGTGATTGTTTTGAATCTTTTAGGCATTTGCTTAGAGATGAAAACACGCAAGCTGTTTGTTGTATGTTTGTAGAATGATCTCTTTAGGGTTCGTAGGTATGTCAAACATTTAGAGGTTGCCTGTAGAAAATAGTAACACAAGCCATAAGTCAAGACTGTTGTACTCCTGCATGTACTTTTGAACATGTTACGAAAAGCTATGTTCATTCAATACTGTTGTAATTTAATAAGTGGGGCTCACCATAGGTCCTTCCTAAGTAGGCACAGTATGGAAACTTCATAAATATGGATATTTTAAGTAAATATTAAGTCCCTTCATCTGTTCTCTTCTAATGGTATTCTTGTGGGGGTATGGGACAGTGCTCTTTGGCCTCTTAGTTATGGAACCACTGGAACGAGGCCAGGTGGTTGTCCATTAAAGAAACTTTGCAGTGCAGAAATATACTTTCCTTCCATAACCGCTTAAAAAAAACCTCCTTTATTTGTTTCTGATCATGATATTGTTGTGGGCTCATCATATACTGCCATATGGCTTCCTAGTCATTGATCCGGTCGTTCGAGGCCAGGTAGTTGTCCAATAAAGACAGCTTGAACTTGTATTTAGGGTCACAAGATAGGTTGGATTCTCCAAGCAACCACTGATCCAATTGGTTTCTGCATGTGCTTAGCCAAAATATCTGGAATTTAGATGAGAATATCACAATAGATGATTAAAGATATATTTCTCAGCTTGAAAGATCATATTGGTAAGAAGAAATGCTTCCAGATATTGAACTCCACAATTCAGGACAAATTTGTCAGATATTTCTCATTATGATACACATTCTAATCGAGAGTGTTCATTATTCTTGAACAGGAGTGTTGTGATTTTCTTTTTTTATTTTTAGGTTAATGGAACATTTTTGTGTACTCTCTAGTACATTGTGTGCCTTCGAAAATTTTTATTTTGACTAAATCTGATCCATCTTGGTTACGTATCCCCAAATGCAATAAGTTTAGTAAAAAATAACTTCCAAAAAGGATTTAGAAACTTAACTTTTAATTGTTCGTGGGGCCCTGCGGACATTTTTAATTTAACTCAGAATACTTTGATTAGATCTCTCAAAAACTATTTCAATTTAAAAACCAAAAAAATATATGTTTATAAAGGTCTGCATTTTTTCTAACTCTCTTGCATTTTCAATTTGTATGTGCTCTGGACAAATGTCAGAGTAGGAGATCAATAATATGTTTTTGAGATCGATAGCATCTTCGATTTTCCCACATTTTGTTGGTTTTGGAACTTTTGAGTGAAAAATAGCATCGAGAGAAAGTAGAAATAACATGTATCAAATTGCATACTGGCTGTGCCTGCAGGAGCCGATCTTTCAAATCTCATGACTGGAAAGGTTATTAGGTTAAATAAATCCTTCAAAAATACGTTATAACTGCTCCTTAAATCTTCCCCTTAAGTTTCCAGGGTTCAATGATATTAATATTGAATGTTTTGGAACTAAACTCTTAAAGGCTTTCCCAAAAAATCTGACAAGATGCAAATGCTTATTTCGAATCTCGTTTTTTTGTAAGATTCGTTGAGCATGTCTATTTGCTGGTTCATTATCTTTGGCAGTGTTACATACTTCGATACCTGTTGAAAAAAACTCTACACAAGTATGTCATATTTTGAATGGCTATATATGTAGTTGGATGTGGAATGCTAATGCTGTGATGTTTTCTACTGTAGGACATCACAAAGGTCTCAATGCATTTTGTCCGTGGAAGGCACCCAGAGATTTTTGCATCTACACTAGTGAACTTTATGGGAAAGGTTTGTCACTTCCACCTTGAATCTCAACAATGTGAGCCACTTGCTTGTTTTTTGTTCCTATTTTTATTGTTTGACCTTTCTGGATTGGATCTGACGAGAACTAGATCTTCCAAAGTTCTAGTATTACAAAAAAATTGAACTTTTGAAAACCAAGGAATTTCAACTTTGAGGAAACATTATTGGATCTGAATCATGCTTTGACAACTCTCAAGTGTTTAGTGGTATTTCCTCGTCAGTAAAGGTTGGTCAATAGATCCCATCCTGGATCGAGTTATTTTATTCTGGGCTCATTTTTGCTGTTTGTGAAAAAATAATTTTATGTTGAACATGATTAAGAAGAATTATCTTGATACTTGATAGTGAAGGTTGGCATTATTCCAGATCTTCAATTTTGAAATGAAACTATATAGAGAAGCGTATGCCAGGGGAACAACTTCTGTGCAGTTGTAATTGTCATATTAGTTTGGATTTTTTACCCTTTTTAATCAACATGAAGCCAAAGAGGTAGTTGCCTGGAATATAAAGATCATAGAGTTGATACCATACCACACTTCAAATAACTAACAAAGATGATTTTGAGAATATTATGTTGTGAACTTGCTTCAGTTTGGAGAGTCGGTTTGTCCTTTAGGATTCTCTACATTGTAACATTTTATGTTCGGTTATCAATAGTACACAATGGTTGATATTCCCGTGTTTGATGTGCATTAATCCATTTCATTCTTATATTGATCAATTATGTTATAACCGAAGTGTTCCAGAAGCTGGACGTTACGAAGGGGCCTTTGAGCCCATTTTGTTTTCATTTCTTTTGTCACTGGAGCAAGTTCACTATTGTCTTCTGATAGTTGCGATTATACTTTCTTATTGTGTTGAATACAATAACTGATATTACTTTGTATTAATCTAGTGCTATCCTGGTGAAGATGATTTGGCGATTGTTCGTTCAGTTCTTATGTGAGTATTATATCGTTCTGAATCTTGAATGAGAACTATTGATGTAATCGAGACCAATTTGAGGTGCACACGTGGTTGCAACCTTTAGCTTTTCAGAATGTTTTTTGTTGATGCATAATGATTTCTTTAAGCCATCAAGTTGAGCACGCATGAGACTAAAGCTTTCTAACATTGTTCTTCTTCTCATTTAGGTATCTGTCTTTGGGAAATCTGAGAGATGCTAACCTTCTCATAGATGAATTGAGGAAGCAATTGGCATCCAAGCAGTTGGACTTCCCTCTCACAGATTTGACACAGTTCGTCATTTATCTTTTGCAGACGTAAGTCTTAATTGATTCATGTTTTACTCACTCTGAGTGTTGGTTCAGGCTTGCAATCACCTAAGTCACTCGGGGTGCTGGGTCTGATATGAAAACCTAAGGACACAGCCGAGGCTTACCAGTTCAGGAACATTGCTGTGTTATTTTTTAGGAAACTTGGTTGAGTCTTGGTGTGACTCGGCCGTATTGGACTACTGACTTGTCTCAGGACCCTGGCGTGTCCCAACCCAAGTCTGAGTTTTAAGTCACTAGTTAATATCGTCAGAGTTTGATTACAGTTTGAGGGGCAGTTATACAGACTATCTGATATTATGAAAATAATCTACCGACATTTAGAGTCTAATGACGGACGATTAAAAAAAAAGGTTGTAAGCTATACAAGTTTAATATTGAAATTTGAGATCATTCTAAATAAAAATGTAATTAGCTTAGGACTGCATAAGTCATAAATGGCTTGAATGATTTCGAAACCTTTCCCATGCCTGAGTGTTTGTAATAGACTGTGTGTTTCCAGTTTATGGTTTTCTGGATATTTATGCATATGATTATAGTGGCTCCATGCAAGTGGGATGCTATCTTTAAGGGGTTGGATATAGTCAGTTCTCCTTTGCTTGTTCCTATCATTGGCTGATGAAGAATGATGGATAATGCTCACAGGGAACCAATATTGCCTAGTAGAGATCTTTCACCCAGTTGAAAATTCCATCCACTTAAAGGATCTCCCATGAAACTTGATGAAAAGAGAATGTCAATAAAATTCTATGTTTGAACAAGTTGATTAAACGACAATCAAGTCCTGTCACCGAAACCCAAGACCTAAAGTAAGCGGGGTGGCATATGGTGATAACTTTCTCCGATGAAATTTGAATCTCTAGCACCCAAGGAACTATAATGGCATGGAGCAGTGAGTGAAAGAAATGAAAAATAGGACATGTCTATATTTAGCAATGTTGTCAGATTCGCTTCGGAGTGTTCTTCGGTTTGGTGAGAAAAATGTAGCAATTTGGTGCTTCGGCCGATTCGGGGGAAGACTTCGGACTTTTTTTAAAAAAATTTAATATAAATAAATTAGATATTTATATAAAAATATATAAAAATAATGGAAAAATTTAAAAAAAATAAAAAAATAAAAAAATACTTTTATATAGATATTTCTTTTCTTACCGAAGCAGCCCGAAGCAGACCTGAAGTAGACTGAAGCTGCCCGAATCTGGCCGAAGCTGCAGCACCACGCTTCTCTTCGCTTCGGTTTATGCTTAAAATCCAAAGGCGAAGCGAATTTGATAACATTGATATTTAGAATAATTATGGTAGTATGTGGCATGGAAATGGGTTTTGGAAGTGAGAGCATGATCATCCAGGGCAGTTCCACAGTAACTAAATATATCTTCATCCATACACTTTTTCTTCTTCCCATAATTTAAGGAACATTTCAAGACATCCTTTGGTATTTTAATATTTGCCTTTTGTCTACTCTGGTCATGACTTGGCTTTGGACCTTATCCTCTCTGTGTTTGATCCTGGAGTAGAAAAGGAAGAAGGAAGGCGGAGCTCCGCTCCAATAAGTCACTCCGATGCGGTGAGTTCTGGTGGGACGAATGAGTAGGGGGGGAACGCAAGAATTAAGCCATCCAAGAAGTAGAATAGCTTGTCCTTCTCCGATATATCCCTTATCCTAGCTATCTAGCTTAGTTGATCAACAAGACAATAGATAAGCTAGAGCATGTTAAGCCCGCACTGCTAAGGTAAAAGGATATGCTAAAAGCTTAACCGGGATTGCCACACTTCAATTCCATTGGCCTACACCAGTGACTCTTCAGAATCTTGACACCTATGAAAGGTTGGTATCTTCTTCCAGATGATTTCTTCCATGTCATTGAGTGGAAGAGATCTAGATAGCTAGAGCAGGACTTTAGGAGGGAAGGAGAGCACCCGTGGGAGTGGTTATATGCAGCAACCTTGAAAGGTTCAGGGATTTTGGTTTTTTTCAAGATTTCAAGTGCTTACGGAATGTCGCCATGGTAAACATGCTGAAACAATATATCCATGTATGTTTTTGTGTCTGTATGTGTGTGTGGTGTGTGCATGTGTGTGTGTGTGGGTGTTTGTGTGTGTGTTTGCATATTTGTAAAGACCTATGGTACAAGGATACAATGACATGGTCTTGGCCATATATTTAACACATTGCATCATGACTCTTAAAAATAAAGGTTTTAGACACGTCATCTCCATATTATGTTCTGATGGATGTGTGTACAAATGTTAGTAACATATTTATGTGTGAAATTAATTAGATTTGAATATAGGGAAAATTAGATGCACTGCAATGTATGGAGTATGGACACATGTTTCCCACTAGTAGACTGTCTAAATCTCAGGTACATGTCTCGAAGTTGGATAATATGTTAAAGTCAGCCTCGTGTTTGACAAAAGAAAATCAAGTGACCTCACGAGACACTTCCAAGTAGGGTCAGCTGCTATGCTTATCTTTGTTACATAAGACTACAGAAATGTGCATAAGAAACATTATTTTCATGAAGGAATACAGTGAATGAGAATAATATTTTTACAAACTAAAAGCCAGACTAACAAAAAGAAGTGCCATGTTTGTAAATACAGAAATATACTTTATAATGGCCAAGCAAAAGCTAGACACAAAGGACACTTCAGATTAAGAAAAAGGAGGTCAAAGCACTTTTTCTTTTTTATTTTCCTTGAGCTGCTCAGTAAGGGAAGCACATGATATTTTTAAAAGCAGAATAAAAAAGTACACAATTTAAGCCACCAGAAAGGATATAACTAAATAGCATAAAATCTGAAGTACAAAATGATGTATTAGCTACTTCTTCTGATCATATATAATGTTGTAAGGTATGGTTTACGATGCTACTTACTAGCAATTCGTGGCACTTGAACCCCATTCTGTAAAAATTTTTTGCTATCACTGCCTCAATATCCATGGGAACAAACATTCTTGTAGTCTCAGACATTGTCAAAAGATATAAAGTTTATTATATTATATATTCAGTGGTTGTAGATATCATATAGTTCAATAACACAATATTTTGCAAAACTTCTGTAATAGTAATACAAAATATAATTGAGTGCTGTATAATTTTTAATATAGGAAAAAGTTGATATAAGGTTGCAACCTTTATACTGTTGAAGTAAGGTGCACCAAAAAAATCCTACAATGGAGAGTGTTTGGCATAGGAGAACCCTCTAGCTGATCATCTCGGCCTTGAGAGGAATGCACATGAAGAAAAAAAGAAGAATTCTAAGTCCAAAAATAGTGCATCTTGTAATAAGTTATCTGGACTATTTATTTTCATGATTTTCAAGTATTTCTTGATCTGCTGGATCTAGATTGTTTTTGAAATTTTAAATTTTACAAGTTAGAATAAGAAGAGATTTTGAAGCCATCAAAAGCTTTTCGACACCGAAATGACATCTCTAGGTAAATTTTATAGGTGCTCCTTTTATATAGTATAAGGAGGCAACCTACTCACCCTTTAATATAATATAATTCTTTAGATTTTGCAGTATATTAATATTTCTGATAAGGGACAAAAATATGTGCAAACTATGTATATAAAATGTTTTTGTTTTCCTTAGCATACCATGAAATTAAGATTTAATGACATTGTTGTGTTACTCTTACATTTTCTCTCTTTCTTACGGGAATCTTCTTCTAGTCCTAAATATCCTTTTTTTGTATCATTTTCTTCTAAAACCTTGTGGTTTCTTCCTCTCTCTAACTAGTGCCCTGCATTGTTACTTTCTTGTTAAAAGGAGTTATATGAAATAGTGTTTTGTTATTTTCCTGATTTTCCTTTGCTCTTGATGCAGGTTGGAAAGAGATGCTCTACCACTTTTTAGGATACTGAGACAAAATTACCGTACTAGTATATCTAGAGATCCTTCATTTGAAGAAGTGAGTTCCTTATATTCATTACCTATGCGCTATTCCTTTTATCTTAACTAAGAGCTATACAATTAATAAGGAAGTATGACTGAGTCAAAATTAGCCCTAGCATTGTCAACCAAGTCAGATGGCAAACTGAAGTCAGAGACTGGCAGTGGGACAAACAGGAGACAAGGCGTATTTTATGCACGGACGATACAAAATCATAAACGACCTTGGAATCAATTAATACAAGGAAATGAGTGGAAGAGTTAGATTTCTATAATTTTGAGGGAGGGAGGGAGGGAGGGAGGGAGGGGTATAATACTAATTTCTCAGTGTTTCCTGAGGTTTCTCAGATTTGCTCTTTTCCCATAATATATTCAACATTTTCTACACAGCTTCTTTATGCATTCTGCTATATGATTTTACGTCTTACATATGTTCTGTTTAATGACCTGCCCTTGAAGATGATCTCCAAGTTGCAACAGGAAAAGTTCTGGCAATCTGCAGTATTTTTATGAAGTTTTCGTTTGCAAAAAACCAATATAAGTCCAGGGATGCGATCCAAATTTCTCTCTTGATTTTTATGGAAATAGCATGTGTTTTATAATTTGGTTATTCCATTCTTCAAATAAAATATGTGAGCTTTTAATATCATTTGGGTTTCGCACAGTTGCTTGATGACATAGCTGAAAGATTTTATGGAGTACGACGTAGAAGTGGTGGCCTACATGGTATGCTAGGGGATTTCTTCAAGGTAAGAAATCGTTACTCGTTCATCTTTAGAAATTGAGTAAGTTGTTATCCCAGAGATATGATTTTCTAATTATTCTGGCCATTTTTGAGTGTTGCATCATCCTCAACACGTATAATTTAACGAATTGTTATTTTTGTCGGAAGATGAATGATGTAATCACCATAAATGTGGGAACCTATTTTAAGCATTTGATGTGCCCATGTTTTGATTCTTCAACAAATTCTTGCAACTTCCACCTAGTATATTCAGTCAACAGCATCTGACTTGCCTCTAGGTAGTTAACAGACTGAGATTCAGCTTTCTTTTAGAAACACGGTTTGGTCCAAAAACCGTTCCTCTTAGCCTTAAGAAACTTCATTTATTTGCGCAATCACTATGACCAGGGTAACCTTCTTCACAAATACAATGTTGTTTAACAACTCTTCAGTCAAACTGACAGCCTAGAAATTGGATCATCTAGAAGAACCTTCAGGAAACAGAAACATCACTGATCAGCTGAAGCAAGTCCCATTATGATTGTTCGATGATTCACAAAATAGCTGGATTATTTGAATTCTTTGGCTGAACAAGTATGAAATGATTCCTGTTGATGTCAATCTGCGTATTTAAGTTTAATAAAATAAAAATTTACTTATTAGAAATAAAAAAGAAAAATAAAATATGAAAATGCAAGTGCGGTTGCAATGCCTATATGTGTAGATTCTAGCATAGTTTAAACCCACCCAGATGGCTGGGAGGCCTCACTGCCCCACACTGGGGCTATGCAAACCCAGCACCCAACGCATGGGCACTTGCCCAGAGAGCCCTTCTGGTGAGGGCGGAAATTGCCCTCGCCAATTGGATAAATAATGTAAGTTCCCCCCTTTGAAAGGGGGGAAATAGTATGTGGGGGGCATTTTGGCCCCCCAAAACCCTAGAGAAATCTATTTGTGCCCTGAAACCTATTTCTTTATGGTTTCATATATTATTTTCGTCTTTTTTTTGAAGTTTGGCTTTACATTTATGATGAAACTTCATGGTTTTTTTGTTTTCAAGGGTTTTTGTGATTATTTGGCTATGTTTCTAATTTATGATGCAAAATTGAAAGTTTATAATATGTTTTTTTAGCTATACCCAAAAAAAAGAAAGAAAGAAAAAAGAAAAAACATTTTGGCTGCCCACGTCACTGGGCGGCCACCCAGGTGGTTGGGACCCCTGGCCTCCTTGGCTGTCGCCCCCATCTTCTTGAACATTGGGTTCTAACTTGTGGGCCCTATGTTCTTGGTCTAGACCCATACATGCCAAGGAAATAAGAGAAAGTTCTTCGAAAGCCAATAGGATAATTTCTTTCTTCTTGCAAGGCAAACACCACATAGGGCGAACTAACAATCTTCTCTCTCAATTAGTGTGATTCTGAGTTGTTCAAGGAAACCCTCTGCAGAAGGTATGCTTGAGTAACCAGTTTGGTTGCATAATTTTCTCCATGAAGTTGGTAAGAAATGAGTAGCAAATGGATACTTAAGATTAATTATTGAAAGAAATCGAAGAATAACTGTTTCCTAAGTTTCTGTTGCTCGGCTAATCTCCGTTTCCTTTGTTTTATGCTTATCATTTTCGCTGGTCTTTTTAGTAAAGTTGCTGCGATAAATTTCAAATGTTGAAATGGAAATAGGGTCTCTACTTTGTTGGGAACTAGCTACTTCTATCGACAAACATGATTGTTTACTTATGATTTCTCTCTCTCTCTCT